AAAAAAAAAAAAAAAAAAGGCACCCCAGAAGAATCCCTAATAATTCTCCATTTTATTTCCCATTTTTAAAGCAAGTTCTCTCTTTATAAGTAAATGCTCTTCCTAAACTTCAACACTCCATTCAGATTTCCAAGTTGTCTTTAAAAACATATCAAACTTGAGTCCACAACTAATATTATCTCTTACAAACGCAGGACAAGGTCTCTCTCTGCCTCTTGCTAAACATTCAAAACATTCCCAGTTAAGTCAATCCATTCATTTATTCAACACACATAACCACTTGCTCTGTGTCAGGCACTGGGCTGGCTTACCCCGCTTGTCTGCATCTCCCAAATCAGTTCAAGCTCCAAGAGGGCAAGGATCAAGTCTGTCCGGTCCCACTGTGCCCTACCCATCCCCCCACCTCTCCCATCCTGCCTGGCACCAAGGGCTCAAAAAAGGTTTGTTGAACGTACGAATAGTGAGCTCAAGCAACTCACTAGTGTAAACCCACAACAGTCATCCACTCACTCTCCCTCAAAGATGGCAGGAACACAGCAGATCCTTTGCTGATTACAAGAAGCTGAATATCCCATCAAAGTCATCCCTAGGATACCATAATGAAGCGGACAAAAGTGTCTTGAAAATACTGCGACTCATATTTCCAGCCCGGCGTGGAGAGTCTGCCAAAGCATCCGGCAGAGGTCAACTGGGTGGCGGGGCAACGTGCTCTTGTGCCGCGGTCCCGGAGGTCCAGTGAGACCGGAAGTCATGGTCCCAAATTCAAGAAACGCTAACAAAAACAGAGGAGGCCTGAGAAGGCGGAGGGATTAACTCGGGCAGTCATCCTGGCTAGTCCGGGGATGCGAGAGCAGGTGAGGTCAGGGCCCCTCTCCCTCCTCCGGGCTCCCCGACCCCTGCCCCTATGCCGACCCCTGCCCCTATCCCGCCGCACTCATGGTCTCGTCATCGTCCGTCCTCACGGAGGCGCCCGAAAGCCGTGCTGCGGAGGGCCAGCTGGGCCGCGAGCGGACTTGGCCCCAGCACCGGGAAGAAAGAGGCCTGGCCGGGACCGCAGCGGACACTAGTGATTCCTCTTCCCTAACTCGGAGGATCCGACTTGGAGCTGTCGCCATGGGGCCGATGGCCCCG